TATTTATTTAATATGAATATCAAACAGTATCATCATAATATGATAAACTCAATTTATTGTATATAAAAAAATTAAAAATTACAAAGTTATTAAATTTTATATTTATGATTTAATTTAATCAGTTTCTTTATTTTCTAAATATTGTCGTATAACTTACAAATTAAATTTCGAAGCAAAGCAAAAAAAAAAAAAAAAGAACATTATAGATTGGCCCTATCTTTTGGTGGAAAACATAATCACTAATCATAAAAAAAAACGTCTGCTAGGATTTCTCAAGAAAAGTCTTTTAAGATAAGTCGTGCAATGGCTTAAGATTTGCAAATCTTTATCATAATTTAACCTTCCTACATGATCTGGATGATACAATTTTGCTATGAAGCCATCGAATGACTCGACTTATGGAGCTATCTACACTTATTCACAAATAGTGTATTGACACGCGTCCTACAATAAAGAAACTTTGAACAAGTGTCAATACATTAAAGGGTGGATGACTCCATAAAAAAACCATCCGATAACTGAATAAATTTTTTGCTGAACGATAAACATTGATTTGATGTCTTGTAATGGATAAAACTTTAAATGCGAATCAAAATCCATTAACTAAATATAGTCAACAAATATTTATTATTTTATTTCATACTTAAGTAGGATAAATATGGTAGAGCAAAACACAATAATCCATAACTAATGTGTTGCTCCTGCGATACACGAGTAAACAATATTAAATAATAATTATAAATTAAAGATAAAGGTAAACAATATTAACTAAATAATCATAAATTTAGATTTGGATTAATATGTGACATAATTTATCATATATCAGTTATAAACAATATAAAATTATCTTATATAAAATAACATAAAAAATATATGTATAAAATATTAAAAACACCTAAAATTATCTTATATAAAATAACCTTCGATAATTAATATCATAACACCAATCAACATTAGCATAAGTTGTGAGTGTTGAAGGAGAATCACTATTAAAAAATTACGCCAAGATGAACATAACCTGCGAGATACCTCTAACACCCTTTTTAGCAATTGTTAATATGTTGATAATGGATTTTGCATGTATTGACTGAGTTTGTTCACATTAATGGTGAACAAGATTTGATAATGAACATATTTCATTTTTAAAATTCGATCATTAGGAAGAATAAAATCACAATTGTTTATTATTATAAACAATTGTTTATTATCATTAGATAATAACAGTTGTATTATTATTATTATTATTATTATTATTATTATTATTATTATTATTATTATTATTATTATTATTACAGAGTCAATTGTTTACAATATTTTAAAGTTATTTGACTATGCTATTAAAACTATTTACTAATTATTTTTAAAGAAATTTTTTCATGAGATATAAAAGAAAAAGATAATATTGATGTTAAAATAAATAACTTAAAACAATTATTTATAATTATATAATTTATATTTATTGTGAATTATTATTAGTTAGTATTAGCATTAACTATTATATTATATAATAGAAAAAAAATGCACGATTACATTCCATAGGATGTATTAATGTGAGAAGTAAAAAAATATTGATGATAAATGTTGTAACCAAAATGGATGGAAAAATTTAGAGGTTTTATTTATGAGGTTTTCTTAAGTTATTTTTATCATTCAAAATTAATTGAGATTTAAATTTTATTTTAACCATGCAAAGTTTACATTAGTAACATGAATAAAATAATTTATATATTTGTGGCATATATTAAGAAAATTAACATAAACAAAAAAAAATTATTGGTGTTTTTGATTTCTAGAAAAAAAATATGTGCCAATCATATTTTTTTCCCAACAATGCAACCAAATAAATATAGTGTAACGATTTTAGTAAATTAATGAGCAATTAATTAAAAAAATATAACTCTTTTTGAAGGGAAATGAAAATAAATTTTATTAATTATTTTATTAAATGCATCAGCTAGTAATTATATATAATATAATATAATATTTACATAAGTGCATGCTAGCAATTACATATATATATATATATATATATATATATATATATATATATATATAAATTGAGAAATAACCTTAATTAATTTGGGCAAATACAATTAAGTGCAGTATTATTTTTTTTCCCACTAAACGAAAATCCAATTTATTTTCAACTAGCGATCATTAATTTGGTCACACTTTCTCTCAATTGTTCTATGTATCTAAACTATATCATATGTATAGTGCGCCGCGCGTTACATCATGGAACACACATCATGTTGCGTCTGATTTTGTTTGCCTTACTCTAATTATAAGCATACTATACTTTACACACACTATAACACTCACACACCAATGTTTGTGTGTGCGTGTGTATATATGAAGATGGAGACTCATGGGTGGGTGCCTATCATTTCGGCATATGACCTTCGAACCGACAACTCGGGCTACAGACAAAAGGGCCCCACTCCTCTTTGTTGCAAGACCAATTTCTCCTTTAAATAAATTAGTTTTAAACCGTGCATTTGCACGAAAAACGAAATAATAGAAGATAAAATAATTAAAAATATAGAAAAAAAATAAAAATCATAACTTAATAAGTGAGAAAAAATAATTTAAGAATGTGAATCTAAATGCTATATTATATACAATATTTGTGGTTTTCCTATCGTTATAATTCACAACACATCATTATTGTTAAACATCTTCGACTCGTGACTGTGGGATTTGATTTTTCAAAATATTTGATGTTACCTTTGTAATATCCAAAATTTTTAACTGAAAGTTAAATATTATTATTAAATGGTGGACATATTTTTATTAAACGAACACTTATTTTATTAAATGAACTCATATTATTATTAATTGTTGGCTGAATAAAATTTATTGAAGCTTGCCAACAATTATATATATATATATATATATATATATATAGATTATTAAAATCATATTAAATCAACTCATATCATTATTAATTGTTGGAAATTACCTTTCCAACCAAAATTACCTTTATAATTTATTTAGTTTTTATAAAAATTATAATTTTTGGTATTTTATAATTTATTTTAGTTTTTATAAGTTTTAATTAATTTTTACAAATAAAAATTTATAATTTATAATTTGTTATAAAAATTATAACGTATAAAAATTTATAATTTTTATTTATAATTAGTTTTTCTATAATTTATGTTAGAAACTAAAATTATAATTTTTATAACTTATATAATAAATAAAAATTTGATTAAAAAAAAAAAGTCATTGGGCCGGCAAAAACTGACGTGCACGGTGCATCCTACCGATGAAGCCGAATGTGCACGGTCCGTCCTACCAGCGATTGCGGAAGTTCACGGTCGCCCTACCGGCGATTGCGGACGTGCACAGTCCGTTCCACCCGCGATTGCGGCCGGTACCTGCATGGTCAGTTTTGCCGGCCGACAACGAGAGAAATTTTTATTTTTTTACTTTTTAGAAAAAATGTCAGGGGCAAAACTGTTCAAAAGAGAAGATAAGTAGTAAAAGAGAGGCGGTATTTAGCAATTAAGCAATTTTATTGAGGTAAGCTCAAAATTTTTTGCGACATGTACATCCACATAATTCTTGCAGAGTTTGACTGTGCAATTTTTCCGTCGTGATTTCGGCTAGTCCGGCTATTTTTTTTTTAATACTAAATATGTAATTTTATTAACAATTATTTGATAATTGTTTATATCTAGTAAATTTAGTCGCTACTATTGTCACAGTTTAATAATTCCTTGCCAAATTTTACAATTTTGTCTGTTTTTATTTAAACAATAATGAGTTGAGATGATTGATCCGAAACATACAACAGAAGTGAGTGATAGTGTATCTC